ACCCGTAACAGTGACCCGGCCCCCCCCCCCCCGGTGCTCGCCCAGCCTGAGGCCAGGGCGCTCACGGTCCTGGCACAACCGACCCACTCGCCTGAGAGAAACCACCATGGGGGTGGATTAAAGGAGCTTTTCACGCTAAAGGGCCCCGTGCAGGGCTGCAGCCGAGGCCACCTCCACCAGAAACGGGCCCAGCCGCTCGCACCAGGCGGACGGCAGCGGTCACCATCTCCGGGCTAGAGAAACACGGGCTGGCTTCCCCTGCCCGTCCCCAGGAGACCCCCGGCAGAGCCGGGAGACCCCTGCAGCTACTTTTCCTTCACAACTTCTGAGCAAAGCGGGCAGATGGATCATCTAGCCCAGAGGAAAGACAAGCCAAGCAGGGAAATTTTCTAACCCACCCTGCAAGGCCCAAGTAGTCCTGCAAAGGAGGAGAAAGGCCTCGGAGTTCACAGACCCTTCCTCGCCAGCAGATGCTGGTCCAGGGAGCCTGAGGAGAGCAGGAGGGAAAGGAAGCAGACGGTCGGCCTGAGCCATCCAGCTCCCAGAAGGCCATAGCTTTCCATTTGTTTGTGACACATTCCATCCCAAATGTATGACATGAAGCAATCAGATGTATTTCGCCCTGTAAAAGTGACTTCCTCCCCGCTGCCATATCCCTAAACACTGCCTAAAACCCTCCCTGCTATGCCTTGCAGCTAGAGATACAGTCAGTGGACTGGCATGGGGCCATGCTCAGCATTAATATCCTTTCCCCCCACACCCCAGCTATTTATAGACTAAGCCACATTGCAATCTGCCAGTTCATAAATCAGTAGCGCAGACTTTTGCAAAATTTAACATGAGACCGGTGACCCAGCACAACAGCTGTCCAAAATAAACTCTGCCAGGGGGACCCCAGGCGTCTCTCCCCAGAGCAATAGGGGGACAGGTAATTCCTCTTTTATAAAAAGGTCAGTGCAACAACAGGGTCCTGCGCACACTAAAACGAATGCCCTCACTCCCCCCCCGTGCAACGCAAGCTCGCTAGGAAAGGCATTCACATCATCTTCGGCTCAGCCTTCCCGGCAGGGGCTCGGCCTGTTCGGTATCAGCTCAGCGCAAGGGGAAGGGTTAGCCAAGGCCAGCCGATATCCCAAGGTGCGGCTCCAGAGACGTGGTAGCAAATAACCAGAAACACCTCGGTTATTTTTCCTGCTACAGGTTAGGCTTCTTAACAGGAAGATACCGAAGCCCAGCACGCGCTCAGGAAGTATCACCCCACACGCAGCTCTGCCAGCTCTTCTCAGCCCTGATGTACTGCACCGTCTCCTTTCCTCGTTACCCACAGCCTGCCAAAGCAGCCCAGCTGCTCCCAGTCCCCACCACAGCCTCCTCCACCTTGACTAGAGTTTTTAAGAAAGGAGCCCATTCTCCTTCAAAGGGCCAAACAGCCAGGAAAAAAACAAACAAACAAACAAACAAACCAACAAACCACCCCAAAGCAGACACAGAAACATCTTCAGGGACCAGCATCCTTTCTCTCAACCTACCCTGAAGTAGAGACCCCCCCCAAACCTCCCTCATTCAATAATCCAGTCTACCAGAGCTCTCCTAAGCCAGTAAATCTCAAAACCCCAAAAGACAGAGGAACACGCTTTCTGAAGCAGCCCACCCAACCCTCACGCCTCCTGCCCCATCTTTATGACTCTTCCCACCTCCCTCCCACAGACGCTTTGTCTCTGTGCCCATCATTAGCCCGCAAAGCGGGCAGGCAGAGCACCAGGCAGGGTGCCGGCGGCTGTTAGGGATCCACACCAAGTACAAACTTTCTCCACCGCTTTCTCCTTACCACCTTCTGGCATCTCATGCCTTCCAACGGCCTCAGCCTTACTCCCACCTCGGGCTTCATCCAAACCTGGACGGCATTGGTCTAGCCACAGCCCCAGTGCACCTCCTCACGAGGAGTGAGGCAGCATTTTAGTATCAGAAAAATGGGAAGAGAAACATAACCGTGAGAAGTGGGGCTGTGTTTCAGCAACAAATACTCCTAAGAGCCAAATCGCCCTCCCCAAAAGGCTACTAAAAGCAGTTTGGTCAGTGTGAAGAACAGGCCAAAGAGTGTCTGAACGCCTGCATCCCACGGCCTAAGCCAGTTCATGTCTGTGCAAACAACAGCCCCCAGCCCCCAAACCCCTGGTGTGCTGAAACCTTCTCCGTGCAGCCGTCCCCCACCTCGCTGCCCTCCCTGGGCTTCTCTGCCGCTGATCCCGGTTCCTGGCCCACGGGGGACTTTGCAAAACCTTCTGAAATGCCGTCCTCGGCGGAGCTATGGGGTTAGAGACGAAGGCGGCCGCAATGGTTCTGCCCGTGCGAGGTTACCGAGAGGGGCCGGGGTCCTGCCTGCCTGCCCGGGGAGGCTGGGC